ACAGGCCTCTGGAGGACTACAGCGATAGATAGATCGTTGTAGTTTGCTCGCTCTGGCCAGACCTTTCTCTCAGGCATAGTCGAATTGATTTCCAAAGGGTACAAAGTTGGTAGATGTCGAAGCAGCCAACGACTGCTTGGTTAGTCTCACCCGACCGCCGACGGATTCGCACTGCTCAAGTATGCGATGTGCTCTTTCGAGTCCATCGATTTAGGCTCCTTCCCGTCTGCTGACTGTGTACACAACCAGACCAGCGCTGCGCTCCGCGCCTATTGCTAGGCTGCTGCTGTAAATAAAGGTACTACGAGCCCTCTGCCCCATTCGAAAAGTACAATGCCTATCTTCTCTACTATTTTCCTGTTTTTTACTTTAGCCAATATTAGTCTGCCTGGCACTAGTAGCTTTATTGGTGAATTTTTTATTCTAGTAGGCGATTTTCAAGTTGCGCCCAACGTGGCAACATTAACAGCCATTGGAATGATTTTAGGAGCAGCTTATTCCATTTGGCTCTATAGTCGTGTTGTGTTTGGAAATTTCAAGCCGTATTTCATTCATAAGTTCTCCAATTTAAACAGAAGAGAATTTTTCATGTTTTTACCTTTTGTAATTGGAGTTGTTTGGATAACAACCACTTGTGTTTCAATTTCTTCAGGTCTGTAATTCATAGCTTTTTATGAGGTTGCACTGGGAGCCAGTGCTTGTTATATCAAATTCGCACCATGGATTTTGTCAGAAATGTTTGATGCGTCTTGGGGTTTTCTGTTTGATACTCTGACTGTGGTTGTGTTAATTTTGGTCACTTTTGTCAGTAGTTTAGTTCATATTTATTCAATCTCATATATGTCTGAGGATCCTTTTTTGCCTGTGGCCTTCGTCCTCCAGGGATCCTTCAATATACCATTGCGCACCATGAAAGGTACCCATTATAACATTAAGGGCCGTGTAAGCACTACGTCCCGGTCTGAAGCCATGTGAATAAGTGGAAAAGCGGGGTTCATAAATAGGTTCTAAGATCATCCTAAGAACTTCTTGTACGATCCTGTCCTGGATGCTAGCGCACAAGTGCTTCAACACTTCCACGCATCAATGCCAATGGAGATTTGTCGTGTGGGGAGGCTGGCCTGGTCTCTTATTGTTACATCTTCGACTCACACGGGTCCTACCGGACCCGACTTAGGGCCGGAGGGACACACCAGGGCCTAAAGGCCCGACCTTTGGGGGTTACAGGTCCTAAAGGCCTGATTTTGGACTAATCCCATCGGGTAGGCCCAAACGACACTTCGTTTGGGCCTGGCGGCGCTCTTGAAGTTGCCGCCCGCCGATTGAGGCTGAACCGTCCATCTGGACGGTCCAGGGTCTGGCCTGGCCTCGCAGCATTGAGGCCAGACCATTGCCTACCGGTATAAGTACCGGTATCCGCCTCAGTTGAAGGATCGGCCTAYCGGAACTCTACCGGCACGGCATGGTCAGTGCTAGTGCACTGTTTTGATGCGCTAAACTTAGGGCAGGGGCTGAAGCAGGAGCGCAGCATAGCGCAGCAGCGAGCGGAGCAGCAGCAGGGCGAGTGAGCCAGCACGGCGGCCATTGCCGCCTGAGGTACCGGGAGCTTGGAGGGTCTGCTCCTCTCCCTCGCCAGTCCCCTCTCTCTCTCTCTCCTCTTCCTCCTCCTTCTTCTTCTTCTTCTTCTTCTTCTTCTTCTTCTTCTTCAGATTGGAGACTATCCAGTTGGACAGAGATCAGAGTTGGATTTCGGTGATACGAGACTGTGGTACTTACCTGATTGGAGACTTGGAGATTGTTGAGGTTGACACTCGGCTGCATCACAGTTGGACACCGGTTACATCTGGACTCGGTTATCTCCGACATTGGTGACCTTTGGTCCTTGACATTTTGATCTGGACTACGATTTCGGAGACCTACCAGACTCTATCTTGTGACCTATCGGTGTGATCTACCTCCTACCTCCTTCGTCTCTCCTCCCACCTTTCATCTGTGTATGTGTGTACGRGATCTRGGTATCGTCTATGAATGACCCAGACCCCACCATCTCATGATTGTATGTGTGTGGAGTGATGCCATGTAGGTCAGTCTATGTGAGTCAGTTCGTTATCAGACTTCCGCTGCATAAATGCTCATCCTATATTGGTTGATCTTTGGTTCTGCCCATACTCATTGAAGTATGTAACACTTATAGTGCTGGCCTCCCTTCGCGAGGTCTGACTCAGTCTTCCTTGGGTCTTTCCCCAGTCCCAGACCACTGCAGAATGTGTCCTGGTACCTTTCCCTCAGGGTCTGCTGCTGCTGCGGCCTTTGGGCCTGAATTTTGGACTTTGGGTCTGAATCTGGACTGCCTATTGGACTTTGACTTGGACTGGGACTCTACCCCATTGACTTCCATTCGAATAGACACAACTCCTGCACGAACAGACACATCTACTGTACGAACAGACATGACCTGCACAGCCCCCTCGATGAACAGACGTGACTCTCACAATTAAATACTGCAACTGTTCGTCCTGGGGCACGACTGTGACCTTTGACACAGCTCCTCACTTTAGTTAGAATGTGACTTTTGACCCAGAGAGCATGTCTTTTGATCTGCTTTTCACGAGTTGAGTTCTGGCCGAGTGGGCCCCATTATGCTGCGTTCGCCATCCAAGGTCTGAACGGGTAAAGGCCCTTTTATGAGTAAACAGCTGGGATACTAGGTTGGGAAGGTCGTCAAGGGCTCGGACCTCTTCACCTTGACTTTCTCGTCAGCAACATAGGAACGGTCTCAAAGATGGCCTCATGGGCAGCAAGAGACCTTCTTTTCCTACTCTTCACTTCCTCCTCCTCCTCCTTCAGAGCCCTATGATAGAGCCACTCATAAAGCTGCTTGTCTTCATCTTCAAATGCAGCTTCCGTACGAGCCATTAATTTTGAAGTCATCGCCATGTTAGAAGGTTGGGGGAAAGAATCCGAGAAGACTCTCAAGATGAGTGCTCTCTTTCTTTTTCCTCAGTCGAACACTCCTTTTCCAAATCATCATCTTCGCAAGAAGAGCTATCTCTTTTTCCCTTCTCTCTCTCTCTCTCTCTCTCTCTCTCTCTCTCTCTCTCTCTCTCTCTCTCTCTCTCTCTCTCTCTCTCTCTCTCTCTCTCTCTCTTTTCTGAGACCATGTTTCAACGGGCATCGAGATAAACTCAAACAAAGAATCAGTGAAGCACAAGAAGAAAGGATAGAATTCCTAGCTGGAACAACAATTCATTTGGACTGGAGAATAACAAGCAAATAGCAAATCAAATGATCACGCACGAGATCCACTCCCACCATCCTCGAACCTCCTTGAACTCCCCCAACTTCTTCTTTTCAATAATAATAATGATAACAATGAAAGAATGAACTGGAACCAATGTCCGAATCTCCTTCTTACTGCCAGAACTTATGAGGTCCACCATAGCCATCTCATACACCTTCCTCCTCCTTGGTTAGGTGGATAGCTATGGCGGACTAGCAGAGCCCTGCTCCTATGTTCAAAGGACACGGCAAAGACTATGCGTCCCTCCTACAATGGTCGCCATGCCTAACACTACCCCTAAGATTAGCATGGCCCTGGCACAAGGATGACACACATAAATCAAGAAATGGTCCCCCCCAAAAAAAAAAAGGACGGAAAGAAATGTTTTTGCAACAAATCGCCAATGAGAACACCAACAAGCCCGATTACGACATCTCATAGAAGATCAAACATGACTGGGCAGAGTCGAAAGCACACTTGGACCAAAGCGAAATGCACACCCAATAAGAGCGAACAATACACCGAAGTCCCCTGAATCTTGATAAAGAAAGCGCTTCACCGGCCTCCAATCATCAAAACAGTGACAATGTAGTAACTCTACTTGGACCAAAGCGAAATGCACACCCAATAAGAGTGAACAGTACACCGAAGTCCCCTGAGTCTTGATAAAGAAAGCGCTTCACCGGCCTCCAATCATCAAAACAGTGACAATGTAGTAACTCTACTGGCTACATGACTGCCGTCCTACGTCCTAGCTCCTATCATGCTACTGTCTTCACCTGAATAGAACACCCGGTCACTATTTGTGCAACTTTCAGTCCAGATATGGCAATAATTACCCGGCGTTCTATTCAGGTGAAGACGATAGCCTATCTACATGCCAGCTCTCTGTCCATGTGTCAATTGCCCGATGCTGCTTGAAGACTCTGCTCAAGCCGGATTGGCCCGTCAACGCCAGGTGAGTACCGCTGCTGCCCGTTGCCTTCGTTCTCCGCGGACCTCCACGCTTCCACATTTTTGTTGTGAATGAGGGAGGCCGTGACAGGTGTACCGGGTCTGAGTGCATGCCAGCCTCTGTAACGGACTCAGGGTCTGAGTTGGTTGCAGAGGTTGTTCGTCACCAAACGACTAGTGGCCCTCACCGCCCTTCACTTAGGGCCGACATGCAGAAAAGAAGGCCCGCCTTCGCTGAGGTTAGGCCGGCCCGTTTTCCAACCTGCGGAGGGGACTGATTCCTCGCAGTTTGGCAAATTATGCCTCTAAAAGATGCAATTGAAGCTCCTTTCGGCCATCCCTTGAATTCTGAATGACACAGACGCAATTGACATGGGCTCATGTGCAAGGATACATAAATAGAGAAAAGTGGCTAAAAGTTGTAAAAGGAAAACACAAGACCAAGAAAGAGGCTAAGTAAACCCATGATGGCTTGATGAGGCATCTTTTGGTTCTTTGGTTGTCTAAACCACCATGACAAGGCCCCCTCCTCCGAAACTTGCAGCCGTTCTCAAGGGATCAACTTTGCAATGTACCAGCCTGACGGGGACCGGTTTGATTTGTTCGGGTGCAAAAATCAGGAAGGTGGTGCTTTAAATCAACACTTGTGATCTTGGCACGTTGCTGATGAGACCGTTGATTGACTCGTTTGAGTCTTTTCTTTTCTTTTTTTAAGGGCCGTTGATTGACTTTTGTTTTGTGGTCTTTTGCGTTTCTTCATGTCAAGGCATTGTGTTTTTTGGCTGGCGCCAATTCCGTTTTCACTGGAGAGAAGCTGTTGACGACTCCTAATAATGACTACGGCAGCGATCAAGAGATGTTCAAGACACTAGGTATGGGGTCCATATGGTTGGATAAGTGTCTCACATCTAGCATGTAAATGATGTTTGTATGGTGGTTAAATGGTAGTTAAATGGAATTGAAATGAAGGTCGATTGTTTTTCAAATGGTGGGTAAATATGGTGGGTAAATGACATTTAAAAATGATGTGTAAATGGTGGGTAATGGTCAGTAAGTGGTAGCTCAATTGTAGCTGAATATTGGTTAAATCATGGTTAAATTTGCGCTTGCAATGATCCTTCCCCAATTCACGCCGCGACTCAAACATGCATCACTTAACGTTCGCGTGATAGTTCCCACCACACCAAAGATGCACACCGAATAAGCAGAAGTTGGGAAACTTCAAAATGAAATATCATATTATACAATTGAAGAGTTCAAGTGTCCAGCGGACTATGCGATGTCCAACAACAATTCCCCGGTGAGTACCCGACTCCCCTTCCAACTCCTCGTGTGACTCTCTCTCTCTCTCTCTCTCTCTCTCTCTCTCTCTCTCTCTCTCTCTCTCTCTCTCTCTCTCTCCTCACTTGTATCCCTCACTCCCGCATGCACTCACACACACACACACACACACACACACACACACACACACACACACACACACACACGCAATCGTGGTTAAATTTGCGCTTGCAATGATCCTTTCCCAATTCACCCCACGACTCAAACATGCATCACTGAGCGTTCGCGTGATAGTTCCCACCACACCAAAGATGCACACCGAATAAGCAGAAATTGGGAAACTTCAAAATGAAATATCATATTATACAATTGAAGAGTTAAAGTGTCCACCGCACTATGCCATGTCCAACAACAATCCCTCGGTAAGCACCCGACTCCCCATCCAACTCCTCGTGTGACTCTCTCTCTGAGACTCTCTCTCTCTCTCTCTCTCTCTCTCTCTCTCTCTCTCTCTCTCTCTCTCTCTCTCTCTCTCTCTCTCTCT